GCAGAATTATGTTTGTACTTATATTTATTCTTCGTGTTTGTTTTTTTTTTTTACAAAAAAGAAGACCGGATAATGCAGAAGACATGTTGGGTCTTTTTAAATCTATATATAAATTCATTTTGAAAACGCAACAGCTATTTAATAGTTATTTAATTACAGATTGGATTGGAAAATTCAACTTTGATCCAATCGTATTTGAAATACCCACCTATTCCATAAAAATTTTCTAAATAGTTTACTTATTCGGAAAACTTCTTAAAGTCTTGAGTTAGATATAAATTTCAATTAATTGATTTTGAACAATTTATAGAAATTATGGAATTGCTTATAATATGTAATTCAGTTATAATATATGAGGGGCTCAGAAGCAAAGTGACCTAACCATCATTTCCAGAATTTTTGCCTTTTTGTTAGAAATCTATATAAAATTTTAGCCTAAACCCAAAATTTAATTTTCTTCAAAGTAAAATAGACCTAATTCACATATTGTGGCAAGATCTTTTGGATAGAGAATTAGGCCACATTGTTTCGGAGCCTCTCAAATTACATATTATAATCCTTTTTTAAAACAATAAAAAATGTATATTTTTTTGTTAGAGTTACGCAAGATTTTGGAAATTTTGTCATACAAGTTGCATATAAATGCTGAAAGGAAATCTGTTTTACAAAAATCATATAACATATTTATGTTATGATTTTCTCAAGAACAAATTTGGCTTGAAGACCTCCTACTATTTAAATACAAATTTCTTACTTCAATTATTTGTACTCTCTACTTCAATTATTTGTACTTTCTACTTCAATTATTTGTGTTCGTGTTTTACTTCTTCTTTTGAATTAACGGTACCAATAAAATTTTCTCTCTATTCAATTAATCATAAAAATTTTTCTCAATTAAATTTTATTATATAATAAAAATACAAATTGCATGTATGTATGTATTCTATTATTAGTAGCAACGGCCCTAAAAGTATGCAAAATTTTTTTAAATTAATTTGTAAAAATTTATTTAATAATAATTTTTACAATAGAGTACTAAAAATTCAACAAAAAACGAAAACAACAATAAAAATAATAAAATTGTCAAATATTAAATTAATTAAAAATGGCGGGTTGTAAAAACCAACACATTTACTGCTTTAGAATAAAAAAACATAAAAAATAAAACAAAAAAAATTTTAATATCCTTTTTTATACAAAACAAAATTCATCCCACACCTCCTCCACTTTCTCCATTTTCTGTTTCTTTTTCATTTTTCTTATTTCATTTTTGAATATCTCTCTATCCCTTTTTTTTCTTTATCATAATTTTAATTTTCCTAAACAAACACCTACTATTTGTACATATATACATACATTTACATATCTAAATAAAATTCTATTTGATCTAAATATTCTAAGCATTTATATATATATATATATAGGTACTTATATAAAGTTTCTATACAAATTCAAAAACATTAAAATTTATATTCATCTCTATCACTATCTCTTTCTATCTGTTTTTGTATTTGTTAAAATAATAAATAGTTCTTAACAAATCATTTTTAATTATCAAAAAAACTAGTGAAATTTTATATGTAATTACACAATATATACATACATATATATATTATGTATATATATGCATGTATATATATATATTTATCAATAGTTTTGTGTATAACTTTCTAAAAAAAAGGGATTTTCTTTACTTAGAAATTTCATTTGAAAAATTTACATACAACTATACTTACATATTACAATATATACTATACATATAATAATAATTATGAATGTATGTATATATAAATTCAACAAAAAATTATTTAAATATTCTTTTATATTAGAAAATATTTTCGCCGTACATATATACCCACGTATATAAAACAAAACGTACATAAAAACTTATTCCGCCTCTTAAAATTTCAAAAAAAAAAAATATGATAAGCAAAAATCCAAAAACAAAATAAAAGTATTCTGAAATATACAAAAACAAAAAATATAACAACAAAAAAATAGAGAAAGAAAACAAAATCCTTTTATTTTGCCGTCAAATGAAAACTCAATACGTATGTATGTAAATTTATAAAATATGAATAGATTTATTTACGTAGTACATATCCTTTGATATTCATATGTATGCATATATGTACATATACATTTATGTAATCATGTAAAAGTAATATGCAGTATATTTATAATTATGAATAGTTGTATACCATATATTTAATAACTGAAATGTTTAATAAGTTTTTAAAGGAAAAAAAAAGGAAAAAAATTATTTTAAGTTTTATTTTTTTTTTGCTAATATTTTTGTTTTTATTTATTATTCTAACAATATTAAATTGATCAGAGGTTCTCAAGATGAATTTGTCGTTCATATAAAAATAAATTAAATATGTGTAGTATTTCATATGTTAATATTTTATAGGGGTGACTACAATATTATCTCACAAATCGTCCGCACACTAGGACGGTCTTATGACAAGACAATTTATATTAGATTAGGTTAGGTCGACGCGACTACCGTAAGATACACATAGGCCAGAATGCCTCATGGTGATACCGCCGGATCTATAAAATCCCCCGCCCTCACGAGAACGAGCCTGGTCCCTTTAGAAACTAGCTAAACAGTATGTAGTAATTTCGTTGTAAATTTTAATAAATTAATTAAATTTATAAAGGAAATATTTTAAAAAATTGTAAAATTTTCTCACCCATTATTACTAATTCAGAAAGAAATTTGATTCCACCAATATGCTTAAAATTAGATTAAATACCATAGACACAACACTTATTTTTATTTATATACTTATCGTTTTTTTTGTTTTCTTCCCTAAACACGTTATTTTATTACGAGTAACACGCAAGATACCGACTATACCCTTAAGATTTTACTAAGATTTTTCCCTTATTATATTAGGTTTTTTCGTCTGCAAAACATTATATTATGAACATTATTCTGAAAATAATTCAATTTTAAGTTGTACAGCTTCTGCTACAATCACACTGTTCATTCATTATATTCTCCTCTCTCCCACAAAATTATAGCGCCATCAAAAAAGAGTATTAGAACACTAAAAACTTAAATTTCAATTAATACATCATTTATCAAATAAATTTTTGTGTTTGCCTAAGCCAACTAATTTCTGAGATTAAAGTTCTGAGATTAATAAATTTAGAAGTTAAAGTTAAAATTATATAAAAAATTGGTACAAAAATACATAAAAATCTTCGCAATATTGTTACCAGATATAAAAAAATTTTCTTAAAAAAAAAAATGTTAAAAACTGTAACAAAAGTTACTAAATGCAAAACAGATTGAGAATTGTAAATTAAGTAGAAACAGATTGAGAACTTTAATTCTAAATAATTACATATTAGACATTATTAATTAACGTGATAGTTGATAATTATGAGATTGATGTAGTGATTGCAATATTTTTACAATAAAAATGATGGTAATGACTGAAATTCCATTTTATATAAATATCTAAATAGAAATAAATTGATATAAGCTAATTAATTATTTATTAAAAAATTATATATTAAAATAAAATATTCTTGATGTAATATACTTAATGTTTTATACTTTAACAATATTAAGAAAATAAAATTTCGAACTCACGAAGAACTTTAATATTATAAAATAAATCAGAAAATCAATAATACGAGTATAATAAATACTCTGCTATATTTAGAAAAGATTTCATTGTAATCAATTCAAAATTTATAATATAAATTGAATTCTTAAACTAAATTGTACGAATATACAAAAAAAAATTCTTTTAAATGCTGATGCTCATCCTTTCATACAACAGAAAATTTTGAAAATAAATCAATAAAATTCAATATTGAAAAATTTTCACATAATTCAATTCGATTTATTAGAATACCAATATTACCATCCCTATTATTCTGAAAAAATAAATTCAATGACAGATATTTCATTTGATTATGTGTATAACAAGTAAACGTATATACATACATGTATAAAATTATACGAAATACATTATTATTACTATTTACAACTACTACTTACAAAACTAAAAAAAAATCAGTATAGATTTTTCATGTGATAAATCAAAAAAAAAAAAAATAAAAGAAGAAAAACTTAGTTAAAGTTTTCTATAGAAAATTTTCTTTTAATTTATTATTCTCTTTCATTTTGATTTTTGAATCTCTTTTCCTCTCTTTCTCATTTTTACTATTTTTTTTTTCTCTTTATTCCTTATATTTCATTATTATTTTTATTATTTTGGTACATTTTTTCATTTTATTTTCTATGTAATTCTGTTTGAATTGAATGATCAAAGAACAAATCAAAAAAAAAAAAAAATGGAAAAATTTGTAAAAATGAAAAATAATATCAAAACAATTACAAGTAAAAGAAATAACGGTGAAGAAGTCCTGTACATTTTTAATTATAATCTATAATATTTATTTTTCAGTGTGTGTAAACGATATAAACTTTTTATATTCTAATAACATTAATTATTATTATGATAGTGTTGTGACATTTGGAATTTTTCTTTGAATAAATCGATTTTTGGTTTTTATTAAAAAAAAAGTATTCATTTCTTAAATAAAAATTAGTAATTACTAAATTAAAATGGTATATGACTGAAATTTAAAGCACCATATAGAACAACAAGTGGACCAATCGATTAGCCGAAACGTGTAGTTCCAATCCTGTTTTTGTAATACGACTATTATTTTTTTTAATCCGATTTGTCCTACTCTCAAAATACCTGAAATAATAATTTAACAGCTTCAGATACAAAGTGAGAGAGTGGTGGTTAAACTTTGAAAAAAATGCCTTATTTTGGTTTAACAAAAATTTTCGAAAAAAAATGTAGTAAATCTATTACAATTACAAAAAACTTGTCAACACTTTTTTTTTTTAAATTAATTTTTAAAAATATAATTTTTATTATTATATTTGTATATATTTCTGATTTAAATTATGGTCTTTATTAAAAATTAATTGTTTTTTTTTCCTATTTTTTTCTTTATAGGAAAAAGTTGTCAAAATGGTGGACACACAACATTTTTGTCTGCGCTGGAATAATTATCAAAGCAGTATAACATCTGCTTTTGAGAATTTGCGCGATGACGAAGATTTTGTTGATGTTACATTAGCTTGTGATGGACGTAGCATAAAAGCACATCGTGTTGTTCTATCAGCATGCAGTCCATATTTTAGGGAACTTTTAAAGGTAAGTTTTTAATATTGTATTTATATAATATTTATTAATTAAAATTGATTTAATTAAATCATAAATAATTGAAATCGTAATAAAAGGATCTTTTAAGCAATTAGTTTGAATTATTTGAAAATTATTTAAAAATAGTGAAAACAATTTTTTTTTACTTTATTCCTTTAATAAATTATTAAACGACGTCTATCGTATATCATATAATATGTATAATATATTGAAAGGATTGCATACTTTTAGGGAGAGGGTAAAAATATGAAAAAGCACTAGAATAATAATTAAGTTATCATACACTTAAGAGAGTTGTGTTAAATTTTAAAATGAGTCCGACAAGTTGGTTTTATTCTCAGTTGTTTACAAAGTGATTAACTAAAATATTTGTAATAAGTATTTTCTTGTTAATACAGAAGCTTTTTATATTATATGGAAAATTTTCGGCAATCTACTCTGCCTAACAAGCAAGAACATAATAAAGAATCCTTTAACAAATTTTTTTTATTAAATCACAAACTTTTTAATTACAAATTTATGAATATTAAAATAACAAGACTTCTTCCTTTTTAATTGCATAAACACTTCACTATACATGCATGGAGGCACATACGCACTATGTGTTTGAATATTTTATACTTAATACTCTAATTTTTTTTTTAAAGTGTTATTAAAATTATTTTTCATTGAATTTTCCCTCTTTTATCCCATTAAATAGTTTATCACTTTATATTAAATTTTTTAATTCTTTTGTTTAAAATAAATTAAAATTTTAAATTCTTAAATTAATTTCATATTTATATCAAATGTATAACACTTTTCTTTTTAATTTATTTTTAAAATTCTTTCAAATTATTTCGTTAATAGCGTATATACTAAGTACATGTTATATGTGGTATATGTTTGCATTATTATTAAGACATTTTAAAAAGGTAAAAAAGAGAATTTTTTTTTAGTATTTAGAAATTGCGTTTCCTTACTTGTTTAATTTTTTCTTTTATTTATTATAAAACTTTAAAAAAATGAAAATTGTTTTTCATTGCAGTATATTTGTTGTGTTTTTAAATCATATTGCATGCACTTTTTATTTTATATTTTATTCTATTAAGAGGACTGTTATACACCATATACCATGCAAATGTTTTAAAAATTAAAATTATAACAAACAAATAATAAAGAGAAAAATTGCAAAAAAAACTTGTAACTTATGACTGAAGAAAAATGATTTTATTTATAATTTCTATCCCATGTCTTGCATATATATATAAATTCGTTATATATAATTACAACAATTACAAAATATATATATTTATTTATTTATTAAGAAAAAAACGGAATGTGAAGAAAAAGAAAATTATGTATCCAGTTTTTATATTTTTAATTTTAATTTGAAAATTATTTTTATTATTTCAAATATAAAGGGTGCCCGAAACTCAATGGTACACCCGAACCAAGTCTTAATAGAATTTTTTCAAACGAAAAAAAACCATTAAGAGAATTTTTACCGCTTTATACAGCCTTGAATTTCTTCTTTCTTTAAATCGGGAAGTTTTTATTTATCACTTATTTGATTGCTTATAACTTCGAAAAGAATATGGCAATTAAAATTAGCTTGATGAATTTATTTTAAAGCGCACAAAATTTTTTTTCTATAATATCTTTATCAGTAGAATTGAAGGTCCTTTTTAATTTATAAAATACTTAAATTCAGAATCAAAAAATTTGTTTTTTCAATTTTTCTTTTAATCGTTCTTTACTTATAACTACACGTCGGTAATCTAATCTAATGATGAATTCTGAACTTCATTTTGATATAACATAACATGTAACAAGTGCGAACGAATGAAATCATTTGAACAAAGTACGGAACACTCTGTATATAAATAATATGTACACATCTATAGGCATATTTTAAATAATAATGATATTGATAATGATGACGATTATGATTAACGATTAAAAATACCATCATAATTCTTCTATAATTTTATTTTTACACATCCACACATTCCCCCATAATACGGTTATAGTATATTAAATGTGAAAATCATCTTCGTTTAATCACCCATTTTCACTAATTTTTACATATAAAAATTTTCCTTTCCCGTTTTATTTTTTCTATTCTTTAAAAGGAGCATTTTATTTGTTTAATATTTTCCTCAATTTTCTTCTGATTTTCTTTTTTCATTTCTTATTGTATTTCACTATCTTATAACTAAAGATAGAAAGAAATTTATTTATTCTCCTTTATTATTATTAAATTGTAATACAAAAAAGAAAAATGTATGCATACTTTGAATAATTTTTTTATATTTTTTTGTCCTATATTTATTTTTTTTTTTTGTATCCTCTTTTCATTTATATTTGAAATTCCATCATCTTACAATATTCTAGTTTTATATTTTATAAATACATTGTGTACATATATGAATGTATAGTGTAAGTAGTTCAAAAATTATTGCGTGTTTTAAAGAGATTTGCAACCGCTATGCAGAAAGAACAAGAAGAAAAAATTTATAAATAGCAAAAAAAAAATAACAAATGACAAATAAACTGACGAAACAACGAATAAAATAAAATTATTATAATTTAAAGAATAACAAGAACAAAGAAAAAAATAAGAAAAATAAATTTAACATAACCTCAAACGGTTGTTAGCTATTTAACGGCTTTAAATGGATCAGAAAAATAAACAGAGAAAAAAAACGCAAGTTAAATTTTAAAGTAAGAAAAAGAAGAAGAAAAATGAAAACATTGCCTTTTTCTTTTTTTTTTTAAAATTATGAATCAAAAGTTTACAATTTTTGTTATAATAAAAATAAAAGTAAAAAACAATGACAGAAAATAGCAATGAAACTATAAAATAAAAATAAACAAACAAACATTAAAATTTATTGTAATTTTCTAAAAAAAAAACGGCACGAAAGAATTTTAAATTTTTTGTTGTTTTTACTCGTCGTCACATTTTATTTCATACTTTAATATACACGAGAATATGAAAAATTAGGGAATAATTAATGTAATTAAAGTGATTCAAATATTTGTATAATAATGGAATTTTTCCTCTAGGTGATTTATTTTAAAAATCTCAAATCTTAGAAAGTAAATTTGAATTAGAATTGGACATTGTAACCAAATTTATTTTCTAATACGTATAGTATTTAAAGAAAAATTTCTCGCAATTCCAAAATTAATTTTATAATATTTCCCAAAATATTGCATTATTCCAAAATATTTTATTTATGCCCACTACTTATCCCTCATTTACTGCCTTTTTCAACTATTGCCATGCAAATAGAATACAAATTTTATTTATACTTTAATATTGCAGTTTTTCTCTGTGTAAATTTCTTAAAATTTTTGCCCAAATCATCAAATTATCACATAAAATCGCATATAATGTATGTTAGAGAAAGAAAATAAAAAAAAACATTAAAAATATATTAAAAAAGCAAAAACTATAGTAAATATAATAATAAGAAAAGAAACAAAAAATTAAAATTACTAAAAATAGTAGGGTTTCAAAACTAAAAAGTTCTGCATAATAACAATTTTCAAAAAAAAACAAAAATATTTTAACATTTTAAAGAAATGAAACGCAAGAAAAAGAATCACAGTAAAAAAATGAACAAAATTTATAAATTTATACTTCTTTTTTCACCACACTATCAGAAATGTTCACCTCTTTTTCAACAATTTCTTGTTCCTTCCTTTTCTTCATATTTTTTCCCATTTTACATACGATTTATTTAACTTCAAGTATTAACATTTTTAATATAACAATACAGTTATATTTATAGAATACTTTGTACTTTGTTATATACAAAAAAAATTTTTTTTCATTTATTACATTAAAAAAATATCACATACATTCATAATAATATATATATTTAAATTACTAAACTGGTGCATAATATTTCAAAACACACAAGAATAAAATAATAGCAATGACACACCACCAATATACAAACTTGCATTCCTATATTTTGTGAATTACTACAATTTATTTTTTTTATTCTTATTATTTTAAGACTATAGTATACCATCAGTTAGAAATAAATTTTATGATTATAACAATTAAAAAAAAACACAAGACAAAATAAGAAATTTATAAACTTTTTCAGTTTTCATATATACCATTTGGTTTTAGAAAGAATAATAAAAAAAAAAAACAACAGGAGAGAAAAAATACCCAAGAAACCAAAACAGTAATTTTATAACCAGCAAACAAAGTATAGTATATAAAACATAAATATGCCAAAAAAAAAAAACTTAGCATTGCAGTGCATAAATTGCAGTATATAAATTATGAAGTGGAAAAAAAAATTCACAAAATTTTTAATATTGTTTCAAAATTATTTTCAATAATAGTAATGGGGTTTTCTTTAAAACTAAAGTGGTTAAGACAAAATATTAAATTTGAAATTATAATAATATTATAAAATTTTTGAGCAGCCGCTCGATAAGCATTTAGTTCTACTCAATTATTATATGTCACATGTCATTAATAATGTCCTCCATGTTGATTTTCTTCTTTATTATCATTTATTTCATATGAAATTCGAATTGTTTTATGCATATTCCATTTTTAATTTAATATTGCTCATTTTTGCACATTACAAAATGTCACTTCATTTCAGTTGTCATTTGTTTTTTTTTTAAATTAAATATTTTGCAATTCAATTTCTTACAAATTGACTCATATTGTTGGGGCTATTACATGGAAAAAACGTCTAAGTGAAAAAAAAAAATATTTTATGAGCAAATTGATAATTTTTATTAATTATTGGATAATTTAATTTAAATAATTTTTGCTTGTAATTCTATTAATTAATTTAATATAAATAAGTTGTATTATTGTGTTGTTGAAATTCTTTAAATAAATTATTACGTCACTTTAATGCTATAAACCTTGCCCAAATAATGTTTACATTATTTTCTTTTTTTAAATCAATGAACAATACAATAAAAAATATTGGAATAAAGCGCTAAATGGACAAAGGGATTTG